TTCGCCACTATTCGCACTATTCGCACTACTCGGGACTATTCGCTATTCGCTATTCGCTATTGGGGTTTTCCAGACACCCTGAAGACATCATGGTCCACCGTACCTTATGGCAGGACAGAAGTAATGAAGAGAGAGTTCATCAAATATAATTCGTTAGTTAACACTGAATACTTTGTTAGTCTAACTCGATCTAATCAGTCGAATTGAAATTTCACCATCGCCCTCCCTGCCCTCCCCTAATCCATCGGGTTTTAGAAATTTGGAGTATTCCCACACCCTGGATCAAAAACTTTGTCCTAATGCCCCACCATAGAGCCATACTAGGTGATCAAATGCTTCTACCCATGGGACACAAATGAGTTAAGGAGAAGAAACAAAATCCCCCTCTTCTATTATGCCCCAAGTATTGTTTGTATGTCAGTAAGATGTAAAAGTGATTAAAACTGCAAAACTAACAAGTGAAGATGCAAAGAAGCCAGCAATTCTTTAGGTTTTTCTTTGTTACCAAGAGAACCCAGTTACATGCAGTGCATTCCTAATTAGTCAAAAAATTGAGACTGAATGCTATGATGGCTTTCTCAGAATTATGCCTATTTCTCGAGAACCACTTGTTGGAGAATTTCATGAAATTGACAAGGAAATACCTAAGCTTTAAAGACAATAAGTAACTGGATAAAATTGAAAACATTGAAAAACTCTGAAATTCTACATAATCTAGTATCGTTCAACAAAGGATAATTAAAAATCTATCTTTTAATGTATTAAAATAGTGATAACATGCAAGTATTGTTTCAAGGTTGTTGCATGCAAATGAAGAAGGTAGCAGTGATTGTCTTTGAGAAGACCCTTTGGGTAAAGTCAATAAAGGACGTATGTTCGTGAGAAAATCTAGCTTCTAGATATTCTAGAAGTGAACCAAGCCCAATTTTAAAGACCTAGGGCCCGTTTCTCGAAAGCCCCGAAATCTTTTTGGGCGTGGAAAGCCATTTCTAGTTAATCGGTATTTAAAGACAGAGAAGTGTATACATACGCCTGAAAATTCTTGTATGAAGAGAACCTCTGTTCGTATTAAGAATATATGATTGAAACAGCTCGGTAGTCAACAGGTTTGCGATTTTGATACGGCTTTTCAGGTACGAAAACTTTTCGGGACCTTCGAGAAATGGGCCCCTGGTTAAAAGGATTTAGCTTGACTGACTGCTTGACTAGGCTGCCCAGTATCAGAAGAAGCTTTTGCTGTTAATCTAAGGAAAATTATTAGGAACCATTAATTTATTTTGGGGGGTTGTGGGGAGAGAGTGGGTGGTGTACTTTGATAAATAATAGCTGACCGTGCTAACACGACAATTTTTTTTATCAACACCCCTCCCCATAGCTGTTGCTAGTATGGTCCAGCTAGCTTCCTTGCTTAGGTCTTTTTAAGCCGTATTCTCTTGAGGTTTCTGCAATTGTTTGGGTTTTTATGGGGTCATGTAATTGGGTCCACACTCACCACCTAACATGAAGGGCTAGTAGCAACATGTCCTTGTTAGATCTCCCCCTGTAAATCATTCTGCCCAAATTGAACCTAAAGGGGGCCATGCTCCAACTAGCATAGCTCTTGACATTATTAACAGATCTAAGATTCACCACTACAACAAGGTCACTTGCCCAACATGGACTTGGAAAACATTACTTTGCATTTTTAAATCTAATGTCAAGTGATTTATTTAGAAATAGAGTTCTAAAAGTCATGAAAGTACCATTAATCCTTAGTTGAAATTCCCACACTCTAAAATAGGTCCAATCCTGTAATAACTTACCTTCCTCAGGGGGTGAGGTAAAAGAGGATTTAAGCTATGCAGACTTAAGTTTTTCTGGCAAATAAGGAGGCTTATCTGGAGACTGAGTTAACGTTCAAACTGTGTATTTCCCAACAGTATTCAACTCTTGACTCTGAAATGTTCACGAGATACCTAGAGGCCATTTTTGGTCAATCAGTGTCACAAAGGTGCAAGAACGACGTTTACCGTAAATCTGTGAATTAGCAACCCCCCCCCCTCCTGGAATAAGCCTCTCCTTTAACAACAACCCCTCGTATTAGCAAAATTCGAAATAAGCCCCAACGAGTGGGCGCCTCCCTCTCCTCCCCCTCTTTTTTGAGGGAAAAATAACAAAGGTTTAGTACAGTGTAACCATGCTTAATCACCTGTGCGGAAGTTTTTTAGAATCATTGGTATTTTTTCTCCATTACATCATTACAACACAAGAAAGCATGTTCCTTTTAGTTGTAAATTGCATTTTACAATTTGGTGAACTACTATATAGACAACTTTGTATTTAATACTCAAGTTAGTTGAGCGCCCTCCCCCAGCCTTGTTCTAAATTTGAAATAAGCATCCCGGTTGCTAATTCGAGGATTTACGGTGTCCGTCAAAACGAAACTGCTTGATTCACATTTATTTGTTTTCTTTCTTTCTTCTGCAGTGAACTGCGGAGACCAAGGAACTCAGTTTTTCCATCTTGCTGGGTATGGCAGGGCTGAAAAGTATCTAAGAAAGCACTTACAATCAAGGAGCACATTAGTGTTAGAGAAAGAGAAACAATATTTACAGAAACTTAGGAGTTTTGGGGAGCAATGTAAGGTAATTCCCCTGAAATAAAATTGCACATAGATTTTTGTTCAAACTTTGTCCAATGAATATTTATCATATGAGAACTTAAATTATAAAATAAAAAAGGGGGGTGCCCATGCTCGTT